TATTCGGGTCATGGCCCCGAATTATGAAACAACTCGAAACAAGGTGTTACAATTTGCACACAAGGGTGTTAATATCTCATCTATTAACTATGATTATTGCGACTATACAAATGAATGTGCAAATCATATACTTGTCAAGCGTCAATTTAACAACAAGGGAATTGAGCATGAGATGGTGTGGTGTGAATTTTAATCATGTTACAAAAGTAGAGGAGCTAAAAAGCAAAGGTTGTTTATCATCTGCTATGGTATATGTCATGCATAATTGCATACAGAGGTGTGTAATGATAGAATTTTTTAAAATCATAGATCTTCCCAAACCATGGTTGCAAATAGTATATGGTTAAAAAACAGAAGATGAGAGAGAAGCATAAAACGAATATCAATTGGTATCCTTATTTATATATATATATATATATATATATATATATATATATATATATATATATATATATATATATATATATATATATATATATATGTGTGTGTGTTTTTAAAAAAAGTTGCCTACAAACTTTTATATAAAACTATTTAATGTTCATGGGCTATGCCTTGGTAATCATACAACTAGTTATTTGATTCTATTAATTGCTTTTAAATAAGTAGATTGCATGACAACCAAAATCTGTATTGTTTTTTATTTACTTGGGCATGAAAAAAATTACTTTTCAATTCATTCGACTTAATTAAAACGTTTTAATTTGGATAACAATAAAGAATTAATGATTTTTCTAATCACTAATTTAAGTGACAATTATGGTAATGAAAACTTCTTGCATTGTTGCATATGGTGTTGATAAACATGTAGATTTCTTTGTTGGTCATATTTAGGGTTGTAAACGAACCAAACGAACACGAACAAAGTCTTGTTCATGTTCGTTCGTTTAAGTTAGCTGAACAACAAACGAACACGAACGGATAAACGAACGAGATTTTATTGTTCATGTTCGTTCGTTTAACAAATTACTTTGTTCATGTTCGTTCATTTATGTTCGTGAACATGCTAAACGAACATAAACGAACAAACATAAACGAACAAAGATAAAAAAAAACACAATTGAACATATATGAACATAAACGAACATATAATATAACAATATAATGAAAATTAATTGAATATAGATGAATATAAATAAACTTAAACGAACGAACGTAAACAAACATCATAAACGAACGTTCACGAACATAAATGAACGAACGAGACCATTGTTCATGTTCGTTCGTTTAACTAAACGAATGATAATTTTTGTTCATGTTCATTCATTTATTAAATAAACGAACATAAACGAACTTCCCGCCGAACAGTTCAAGAACGGTTCGCCGAACGTTCTGTTTGTTTACAGCCCTAGTCATATTTATGACATTTTTCAGTAATATGTTCATACTAATGTTACGGAAGCTTCAAGACTTTGGTGGGTGCACGGTGGGGAAATTATCCAAAAAAAATTTAAATTGGTATTTGCTATAGAATGCTCTGGCGAATATGAAAGACGAAAAATAACAAAATATTCAATAATGTGTCTCATCCTCCTACCTCGATTGTTGATGACGTGATCTCGATGATGTTTTCATGGCATAAATATAAGATGAATCATTATAGTTGTAAATGGACTGACCGATGTTTTCCGTTTCTTTGTTGTAATGTGTAACTATAAACTCTTTTTTCCTACCCGGCTAGCTTCTTTCTAGTCTGATGCCCTTTTAATATTATTCGTCGTTTCCAAAAAAATCTATGACACTTTGAAAATGAAGAAAGCTTTCGGTTCAAATTCTCTCTAAAATTGCCTCAATTTTCTTACATAACTTGTACCTTCGTCACTAAAACACAATATTAGTTTAATAATAAAGAATAATACACATATTACTATTGGAAAATCTTTGATAAAGTTTCAATATTTTCGGCAAATTTACGATTTAATTTTAAATTATTTTTTGTTATAAAAAAGATAGATTATCGGTTAAAACTTCAGAAAAAACCTTTTTTTGGTCAGTTTCGCAAATTTAACCAGTATGTCGTTTTTTTTCGTTAATTTGGTAAAAATACTAGGATTTTTTTTCTAAAGATTATCAGTTTTCAATCAATAAGAAATACAGTTGTTGATAATTTAAAGGAACGAGAAGACGGGCTAAATACTCTGTACTCTCATATTGATTGCTCACAACTTTAGATCTTTTACATTCCTCTTATACATCGATGCATGTGTCATGATTATTTAGTTCATATTTTCATTCTTAGAAAATTAACAACTTTATTTCTTTTGTTTATAGTAAAAAAATATGTTGTGTTTATAAAAAGTTTGTTAATAATAATATATATTAATTCAATTCAGAAAAATCTCTTTATTTTTATTATTAATTAAAAATAACGCAATCTTCAAATAAGTTTTTTTTTTTTTTTTTTTTTTTTTGACAAAGTTAACAAAAAAAAGAGAGAATACCGGAGAAATTTACAAAACCAGCAAAAAAAAAAAAGTTTTTTTGAAGCTTTAGCAAGTAATTTGTTAGTATTTTTTTGTAAACAAAATTCAATTTGATATTAAACCGTAAAAATATAAAACAATATTTAGATATTTTTCCTATTACTATTTAGTATTTACCTGGTATATATTCTTTGATGTACGATGTACGGTGGGTTTAATTGGGAACTTAAAAAGAAAAATATTAGTCAATATCCAATGCCATTTTTGTTATTCTCAAACCTAGGTTAATATTTGAAAAAAGAAAATGTAAATTCAATAATTTGGTATTTGTTCGTGGAAAAAGAGAAGAATTTGGCAACTTGCACTTTCATGGGAAGGTGTGACCGGTCACCGGTGTACTATTAGAGCTCTCACCTACCCGCCCTGTCTCTGCAAAGTGCAAACCGCAAATCCCAAACCAAATCCACCCTTCTTCGACTAGTTCAATTCTAGTCAAGGAGAACCAGGAGCGTCTCTCTGGCCGGAGAAAATGGCCTCCCAGAGCAGCATGTTCGTCGTACGCCCAATGGAGTCTCCGGCGACCGTAGCTCCTCGTTTTCCGGTGGCGATCACATTCAATTCGCGCAGCGGAGCATCGGGTTCCGAAAATGTTTCTAAATTGAGCATCAGAAGAAGTTGTAGCAGAAGTAAGTTAGTTTTGGTGTCTGCACTGGGTGATCGTAGCAACAGTAGCACCGGCGGCGATGGTAATAGTAGTAGCAAGGGCAAGGCGGCGTCATCGGTGCCTAGCTCGAATTATGTCGTACCCTTGGACAATCCCTCCTCCTCATGCATCACTCGTCCCCTAGCTGAGATTCTTCGAGACCTCAATAAGCGGATCCCTGATAACATCATCGTTAAATATCCTGATAGTATTCAGGCGGCGTCCATCCCTTGGTACATTTCAACACATTCACTCAAACTCTCTCCAAGCACCAATTTCTGTATCTATCTTCCCCTCTCTTCATTTAATCTGATTTTATTTTGGTGATCTGAAAATGTCTTATAGGTACCATGCCAACAGGATGTTGAGTTTCTATGCTCCAGGTGCTTTTCTTGAACATTGCATTTCCTTTTTCAGGAAGATGCGTCACTTTCCCAATTTCAATTCTCATTTATTAAGCTACCTGGTAGGCAATTTTGATGCTAGAAAATTATAAAAGAGGGAAAACATTGGAGTAAATCAGATGTAGATATGGGATCAATTAATGATGTATAACTATGAGGGATCTCCATTAGTTTACTTCCAAATCTTGAATTTCAAACCATGCATGAACTTGATATTATATAATCTTATCCAGGTGTAGACTTTCGTTAGTTCATATACATCTTAAAGTGTTTATAGCATAACATAACTAAACTACTAAAGGCTTGCATTGTAATCTACTTGAGTTTGTTATTATTGTAGTTTATCTGTTTGATGAACTTGTATTTCCACATATATCTTTTGTTACCAAACTTACCTTATAATTATTTATTTTCAGGTTGGTGTGGAGAAATACGTGATGTAATTTTCTCAGATACTGGAAGTGTGACTGTGGTGTATCGCGTCACTGTACGTGCAACTGATGGCGAGGTATACCTAAATCATCAAAATGCCTACATTTATTTATATAATATAATACTACATATGGATTATTTGGTGTTTTTTATACTGTATTTGGTATGCATTAGACTAGGATTGACTGTGGCTTACAATTATTTGCCCCACCCAATCAGTCGTTTGTGCAAAAGACGTGAATGCTCTTTGATGATCCAAAATAGACCTAGAAAGGGTTTGTTGTATTTTACTCATAAGCTTGAATGCATATACTGATATAGGCACACCGTGAATCAACTGGAACTGTGTCTTCCACCCCGAATGGTCAGATTACTGATCCTGTTGCTGCAGCTGAAGAAATAGCTTTTTGCAAAGCATGTGCTCGATTTGGACTTGGGTTATACTTGTACCATGAAGATTAATTAGATGAAGTAAAGAATTTTCATATGAGAGAACTTGAATAATAATATATGGTAAAATGTTTTGTTTTTTAAATCAAAAGGGTAGGATATCTGACTACTTCCCATGCTACTACCTTTCAAGGGGTAAACTACGTTAAAGATGTAATAAATGTTGCTTAAATATGTCTTTTTTTGTATAGACAACTTCCCATCTTTTTAAGTTTGTTTTGGACGAGAAATGAATTGTAACACCCTAGTTTTCTTTTGGAGGAGTAAACTTACAAGCAAAGCGTACACACACATAGTTCACAAGCACACATGCAAGTAGCTTACAAGCAACTTACAATCACAGATAGCTTATAAGCAAACATTCAAACAAGTCTCATGAATATGATATGTTATAGATATGCTCTTGCCTATAAATAACAAGCAAACTTAAAACCATTTACTTCCATCCAGATATAGAACAAACTCTAAATATAAGCAAATAATGCGTGGTTGTGTTGTGCTATAAAAGCATATATATATATATATATATATATATATATATATATATATATATATATATATATATATATATATATATATATAATCATGTTTTCCTTACCTAAAATGATGTTATCATTATATAACAAAGATTTGTATTTTACAACATTTAGTGATGTTGGCATGTGTTTTACCATCGATTTCTATGCATTTCCATGCACGTGATAGTGTTCAAGAGTCTATTCATTTTACAAACTTACAAATATCGAGCATATTATACTCCCATCTTATAGCTTTTGGTGGGATTCTAATCCTATGGCTTCAAAAGTTTAGCACCAGTGTTTGTAATCATCCAAGCAGTAATTGTATCAGCAAGCAAATCCAACTCCTTTGAATTATTTGCACGAAGAGTTGGAGAGTCTACACCCAGTGAATTCCCTACTTCTTTAGCAACTGCTTCCCATGGTGTCCCTGCAGTTAAATTTGCAAATAGCTCTCCACCCCTGTTTACAGCATCCACCATTCCTGGTGGGACATCTGGCAAAGCCTGATCAATGCAAATAGGTTTACAAATTACAATACAAGATATATTATTAAGTCAATAAGTCAAAGAGAAACAACAACAACAACAACAACCAAACCTGTTGTAAAGGAAGTCCATGATCACCAGGGAGTGATCGAATTGACATATCCAGCACTGAACTAATGGCAGCCTCTGAGCTAAGCACCTGAGCTAGGGTCGAGGTTTCATCAATCGTATCATCTTTGAATTTGATTAAAAGATTCCTTGAGATTCCATAGTATGATTTTATCTGCACAACAAATTCATAATCTTTCAGCTTTCAACAAAAGGATTTACATTTACATTTACATTTACATTTACATCTACATAATTAGTAAGTAGATACCAGTCTTCGAGTTTCTTCTGGTTTTGGAGTGAAATTGTCTCTTCCATTAGCCAACTCCATGTACAAAGGAGGAAGTTGCTCAATCAATGGTATAACTTGTTTCATAATGCGAGGGCTAAGGTTCTCCAAGTTTTTTAAAGTCATTTCTGCCTGTATGTGTATACATATCAAGAATCAGTCATATTATAAATTCAAAGAAAAAAGTGTTTCTTAATTCTTATTACCCCAAAACGGATAGTTGGTGATGATGCAATCTGTGAGAGGATTGGTCCAATGCTTTGAGCCATTGGTAAAAGAACAGGTGAGAGCAATGGGACAGCCATGCTGGCATCCTGAAACACCAGTAAGTATAAATATGATATTATGATATAATTGCAAGAATTAAGAGATAAGTACCTTGTTGTTGAAAGCCATATATACATTACCACACCTCTGTATAGCATACCTGGAACCTGATCAATACAAACTTACTTGATTGTCAGTTTGTCACTGGTTCTAGAAAAACAAAAAAAGAAAAAAGAAAAATAACCAATCAAAAGGTGGATGACAGATCCTAGAGAGTGTCCAATTCCAAAAGATGGAAGATCCCTCACCTATATTATATGTATACCAACCTTAATTCAGCCAAAAGAAAATGGAAACAAACTTTTTATATATAAAACATAAAAGAAAACGCTCACTGTTTCGTTTAGAGCCCTAAGACACCTGTCAAATTTGAACTGAACTTCGTCTGCTATGAAGAAGTGGTCAAAACCACTAGCATAAGGTGTTGCAATTACCAATGCACCCCTGGACAACAACAAGAAATGTTAAATAATTCTAAAATCATATTTATGTTTAATGAATATAATAATAAGAGCAGTGACCTCTCTGAAAGGCGTTCCAGAAATAATCGATAAGTGAGCTGAGGAGCTGCCCCAACAAATATGCCACCAACAAAATGCACAACAGATGTTGGCTCTGAATTTCTTGGTTTTAATACCCAGGCTCCCTGAAATTGTATAAATAATAACCCAAATAAATTATCATAGGTGACACTAAAATCACCATCACTTACATTTAATTCTCTTCTTGATTACTATTATTCATATAACACAACAAAAGAAGTTTATTTGTTCTGCATTGAAAGTTTGACTTAACCATAACTAATGGCAAAAGAACCAGATTAGGTTGGGTTTTTAAACCAATGGAAGGTGGAGGTTAATATGCAGTAAAAGTTACTTCTTTTGGGATATTTATGGTGAATAACATATTACAAGTGAATTCAAGTATACATTTGTTGTTGATATGAATCATGTCTGAATTGTTGATTGTAAGTTCTTGGTGGAAAATTGTTGTTCAGAAATGATTTATAGTTCAATGTAACAACTAAGAGAAAAAGTCCACAAGAATAACAAGTAGAATGCTTATAGGCTATAGCACCATGTGAACTATACCTCAACTTCCTGCCAATCTCTTGAACTACTACCCCACCCACCTTGAGATTGCTTCACAGTCTCAGTGAGTAACCTGCAAAAGCACAAGATGTGTATGGTTATCATGAACACATACTGTGTACATATTTAGCACATGACATGAAACATACAACTCAATAGAAACCAGAATCTATGTGTTTAATTAGATCTAAGTTGCAATTCTTACAAAGGATTCAAAAAAAGTGAAATACATCCAGAGGGTGCTACTAATAGTTGGGCAATAACTCATCTATTCAAGTTGGATATATATTTTTGATTCTTTTCTCTGTCTCTCTAAAAAGCTCCCCCACTGTTCCCTTTCTTTTTCTAAACCACAGTCGGTGTCCTTACAGAATACAGAGTAGAGATGAGATGAAGGAAAATTATGATGATAGGGTTGGGCAGAATCAAAATTCAAAAGGACCTGCAGTGCATACCTCTCGATCTCACTGTAAAGCTGGATTCCAGTTCGTCCTGATTGGTTGTTGCTGTCCTGACCGTTGGAATTGCGACAAACTACCTTAAATCTATTAAGTTTGCGAAATCCGACAGATGACTGAGGATAATGATGAATACCATGTAATCGGACGTGACTCCGGCACAATTTAGACTCAACTTCTGGAGAGGCAAATTGCCAATGCGGCATCCACACGCAGGTAGCCATGCCTATGGACCATCAGAACCAAGAACGTGAACTTTAAATATGATCACACAAATTTTAGGGTTCAAATTCAGAGCTCCAAAATCGAATTCAAGGATTCATTTACAAATTTGACCCATTTATCTACACCTAACAACGAATTGAGTAACTGAACAACTTATGGAGCTCGAAGTAACAAGAATTATCGAATGAAGTTGAGAATTAGGAATAGAAATTACTTGGAATTAGAGAAAATATGACCTAATCACCGGAGCATCAGTCGTTGGAGTAACTATTGGAGAACTTGCAATTAGCAAACCTCCTAATTCGGAACGGATATTTTAGAAAAGTCCACAAAAAGTGCCGTGCATGCAACACTTTCTAGACGATATTTTTACGGGAACAACGGAAGGTTAAATCTCGGTGACTAATTCTTTTCCTTTATCATAACAAACAAATGTTCACATTGCATGTCTACTGATGATAATAACCTAAAAGGATAATCTATTTTGAGAAAATTTGTAAAATGACAAAAAAATGAGGGATTGTTTGAAGAAACGGACCAATAATCAGAAGTTCGGAAAAATGACCACGACTTCCGGAGAGAGCCTCTCCGAAAATCCTTTTACAAGGAACAAAAAAAACTTTCTGAAGAAATGACGTGGCAAGAGAAAAAGACAAAAAAAAAATTATAGAATTTTTATTCCGGAGAGGGTGCATCGTTCCACAAATATTTCCTCTGCGAATCTGTTTTTCAGAGGAGTATCTCTAAGGAATTGTTCTTCGCTAAAACATGATCCAATAACGATAATGGTATTTGTTTTATTCTAAATCTAACAATGTATCAACATTTAGTACAAATCATTGATTCAAAATAACAATTTAAACTATAAAATTATGTTTCTAAGAAATAGACTTAGAAATCATCGAAGGTCCAATAACGATAATGGTATTTGTTTTATTCTAAATCTAACGAGGTATCAACATTTAGTACAAATCATTGATTCAAAATAACAATTTAAGCTATAAAACTATGTTTCTAAGAAATAGACTTATAAATCATCGAAGAAATAAGTCATGTTTTAGCGAAGAACAATTCCTCAGACGACTACCTCTGAAGAACAGATCCGCAGAGGTCATCTCTATGAAACGATGCACCCTCTACGAAATTAAAATTTTATAATTTTTTTTGTCTTTTTTCCCGTCACGTCGTTTCCTCAGAGAGTTTTCTTATTCCTCAGAACGAAATGACTTTTGCAGAGCCATTCTCTGCGGAAGTCGTGGTCATTTTTTGAAAACTCGTAATTCTTGGTCTTTTTCTTCAAACAACCCTTTCTCTTTGGTCATTTCACAAATTTTCTCATCTATTTTTATTTGTACATATTTAGTTGTTCAAAATTTTTTGTCTATATTTTTCGATTGAACTTGTTGAAATGTTCAAAAAACATCATGATAACCTTCAATCGTATATTTAGCTGTTTTCTGACGTATTTGACAACTCGGGCGAGGCTCCAGTCATCTTTTCTGGCAAGACTCTTACGTTCATGATTTTTCTGGCGATTCTACGGGCTGTTGTTCATGTGTATTCATTTGATAAAAAAAACCCAAAAGTTCATGTATGTATGTATTCATCTACAAAACCCTAGAAGTTCATGGATATGAATTTGTTTTACCAAGCAACCATCGATCGCCACCTACTACAACATATTCATCAAATATCATATGAACACACACCAACGAGAGAAAATATTCAGATTCAAGCCACCATTTGCTCCCTTTTAAGTCATTCTTCATCTTCATTTTTTTTTGTACGTTGTTACTTCAAATATCAGATGAACACAAAATCAGATTCGATGAACACATACATGATCTTCAACACACACATAAAACCATACATATTGCTCTGTGTGTTTTCCAGAAACACATGACCAAAAATCGAACTATAGAACAACCCTAAGTCACATGTGAAGGTTGTCTCAAACCCAGAAATCGATTTCCAAAAACAAAGAAGAAAATGATTTTGTATTTTAGGTTCACTGAAGATTAACACACTTACATGTCTAACGAGCTTCAAGATAAACTCGAGTTGGGGTTTTCAAACCAAAATATTGAGCTTGGAGATGAACTTGAATATACATATATATATATATATATATATATATATATATATATATATATATATATATATATATGAGTTGTGTTAACCTTTCTTAGAGAAAATATAACAAAGAGAATAAAAATATGGAAAATGTGTATCTCAAGAACCCATACCGTCGAAAAAATCATAATCACTGGAGAAGATAATCGAAGCCTCGTCGGAAACTGACTAAACCTACGATTGCAGGTCATAAAGATGTTTTTTGAACGATTCAACAAGTTCAATGGAAAAAATATTGACAAAAAAAAACACAGTGATTAAATGTGTACAAATCAAAAAATACACCACCCTTTTAAATAATTATACCACATATTTAATGTAAATTGCATGTGTACACATTTTTAGTTATACATACCCATCATTTAATCTTATCATAATTAATTTAACACGAACAATGATACATGTACATCACATCACATGACTATAAAAAGTGAAAACATAAAAGGTATGTTAAAATTAAATTTAGTTTGTTACACAAATTCTGAAAACTAAAATATAAAAGAGACAAAATAACCTAATAAAAGTCTTTTTCTCCCAATCAAACGAAACAATAACTAGAGATGGAATACATTATTGTAAATATTGCTCATTATATATACATAGTACAAAAAATTCATAAATATCAACAACTCTTTGGTGATTTTAATGTCTTCAATACATTCAATGTAGTTAGGATTGTATTCAAGACAGACTTAGTTATATTTGATTATATTTTAAAGCAGAGGTATGAAATGCACACTCAAATAGCTACTTAAGACTCTAGAACACGGGGGAACGTGATCAATGCCCCTAGCAGAGTCCAATGGATAATGGCAAATACCCATTTGGCAGAAAGATAACTTTTTTGTGTGTGATAATTGATATGGACATATTTAGCTATAAAATCCATGCATTATCTTAATACTTTATGTTGTTTTTGTCTCATTTAATGAACAAAAGGTGCTTAATTAGTTTAGAATTTCATTTTTCAGCAACAACTACATGCTCGGATGGAAAAGGAAGCGGAACTAGCGATTGGAAGCTTGGATCTTGGATTTTGAAGAAAGAAGGATGTTGCTGGACAGCTTGACCCCTCGTCAGTGTTTTGGCCATATCTCATGAACCGTAACTCCGATTGACAAGATTCAAAATGTTCTGAAAACTAGACACAATTTCGGACGACTTTCGTGTTTTGAGAAAATGCTGATTCGAAACGTACTCGGAGAGTAGGGCCGATTACTCGCCGAGTTGGTCAGAAGTTTCGCGATTCTGGACGCGTTGACTTGCCGTACACGGGTTTTAAGTGATGGACTCACCGAGTAGGTCACTGGACTCGCCGAGTAGCCTCTGTTTTGTGAAAATCTATATAAAGGGACTTTCAGATCGATACCCTTGGATATAGATGAACCCTTGGAGGCCAATTATCGATTAAAGGTGCTGCTGGAGCGTGGGAAGCAAGGGAATCAACCCTACATTCAATTTAAAGGAGAATCAAGTCAAAATCAAGTTTTCTCTTACCTAATCTCTTGTTTGAACTATGTTTTTACCAATTGATTTCGTTTTTGTGCTTGTTTTTGTTGTAATCATGAGCTAAAAACTCATAACTTCTGTTTAGGTAGATGAATTTGTGAACATGGATTGATTATTTGATTAGGATTAATTTTAATTGGTGATTATATTTTATTAAGTTTGTTAAAGAACCTTATGTGTTAACAATAACTATTCTTCTATTAATAAATCAGTAATTAAGTTGTATAAACATCTCTTAGTTGCTAATTTCATATGATTTACGTGACCACATAGTTGTATATCTAGGAATAACGAATGTGAAACTAGAATTAACTTGAAGATAGGTAAGTTAATGTGTGAGCTTGTGTGATACACCATCAACAAGAGGTTAATTGAATCACCAATTTGATTAGCTAATTACAAGTCTTTATAAACCCGAATCAACAAACTAGGAAATTCATTAATTTAGACAACTGGCAATTGCTTGAATTAATATGTTTTCTAAGGATTAGCTATAGCGAATGTGAATCTAATCACTTTAGTCGGTAACCAATGAATAATTAATCCGATATATTTACCATAAAATCATCCATGGGAACAAATGATTGGAACCTAAACAGAAGGCCTTTTTAATCATTGAATTTAGTTGATCTTTGTTTTCTTAGCTATTAGTTGCTTAGTTTGCGTGTTAGTAAAGTATTTAAGTTTCTAGTCTTGCAAAACTAGATAAACCCCCTTTCTATTACTTGTTTTATTTAGATAATATTAACATTTATTTTAATTGTTTACCGTTCTCTGTGTTCGATACCCTACTTGTTTGAACTATATTACTAATCGATAGGTACACTGCCTTTCGTATGTTTATTTTGTGTCTAAGTTAGTAGGATTAAAACTAGTTTGTTTCACACACAAATAATCAACTTGAATAGACGAGTAAGGGCCAAACTAATTTTTCCAACCAAAATTGCAAGGTTTGCATAAATTACAAAAAGAGCGTTGTTTCCATTAAAATCGTTGTCTTCCACACACACACACACACATATATATATACACACACACACACATATATATATATATATATATATATATATATATATATATATAGAGAGAGAGAGAGAGAGAGAGAAGATTTAAACATTGCAGAATGGTGAATATAAATCACGTAAATTGCTTCTTCATTTTGAAAATTGTCTCTGACAAATATAATACAAAACAATGTATTTATGATTTGTAATAGACTTGTATTTCCAATTCAAATTTACTGAATTATCCCAAATCGGTTGTATGATGCACCCATATCGAAATCACAGATTTTGGAAACTCTTTGTATATACAATCCTTGAATTGTCTATATATTTTCATTTATATCTGAAATCCAAAATCTAACATCAACAAACAAACTTAATATACAAACATTTCAGAATATTTATGGTAAGTGTCTAATATAGCACTTCACAACCTGTATACCAAAATTGAAAACATGAAATCCAAAATCCGTTGTAACTATTTCCACATTAGGTGATTTTTCGTAACCATCTACTTAAATTGATGTTTTAAACAAAAATTATTACTCTTTCTACACAATCAAACTATTCTTAATATTTATCACCGTCTCTTCATAAAATATCGACAATATGTTTAAAAGATTTTACTAAACAAATATGCAAATCGATATTGAAAAAATAACTCTCGTAAAATACAAGTAAAGGCATAAAGAATAACAACTTAATTAATTAAATGAAATGATTAAGGTATAAACTAACAATAATGATCGAAAATAGAATTACTGCGTAACTTGGGTTTACATTGACAATAAAATAGAAGACTCCACACATTCATAAAAGAGTTTCACATTCTAACATTAATCTCCAAAACACCTTTGCTCTTCTCCTGCAGAAAAGTAGTACACAATTCATTAATAGATCAAAATTCTAATATCCCCCAAATTTAACAAAAAATCTTGTTTGAATGTGGGAAAGCCTCCTTGATTAGGGTTTTGTATTTCAGGAATATATATATATATATATATATATATATATATATATATATATATATATATATATATATATATATATATATATATATATATATATAAAATGAAGCTACATAAGGGACCCTACACTATACATATTAGAAATAGACAATACACTAACACACCCCCTTAGTTTGAGCATAGGGTTTACAAATGTTTAAAGTGTCTCGAAAGTCTACAAATAAGTGTGTAGGAAGGCTCTTATTAAATATTTCTTCAAATTGGTGAGTTGATGGCACATGCAAGACATGCACATGTTCAATAGCAACATGTTCCTTAATAAAATGTAAATCTATTTTCACATGTTTGGTAAGTTGATGTTATATAAGGTTAGAGGATAAATACATAACACTCATATTATCACAAAACACAACCGTTGCTTTAGATAATAGATAAGATAGCTCAAGTAGAAGGTTGCGAAGCCATGTAGCCTCAACAACCACATTGGCCACCCTGCGATACTCAGCCTCAGCTGAGGAGCGCGAAACAACATGTTACTGTTTATATGTGTGTTTGGCCCTTACCTTGACAAAAATCGAGTTCTGTTACTTGTGAATATGCTGTAATGTAATTGTACATAAAATGTTAGACACCATGAATCCAAAAATAA